CCATGAGCCAGCTCAGTACAGTGTTCCTTCTTCTCGCCCACTCTGTTTCAACTCATTTCCTTTCAGCAAAGCCTATAAACAGCTCAACCCCCTCTCACTCTTCCACGTCCCTGGAAGAATTTAGCTGCCTCTGCTCACGATTTCTCCTTCTTATTCCATCGAATGAGTCTCCAGAAAAGTTGGTCCCAGCCACCTTGCTGACCCAAACCAAGGGAGAGCTCTGCCCTCCAGCTACCCCTGCACTGGTCACTCTCACTACCCTTCTGCTCCACCCCCAGAGTTAATAGGACAGTTTCCAGGGCAGGCATGGTGGTGGAATCCATTCACTCTGCATGTGCTCCTCGAAGTTTGATGCCATGCAGATACAGACACAAGGGATAAGATGTGTGGAAAGGAGCTCTGTGCTCTTAGGGAGTCTGGGACTGGGGGAGCAGCTACAGGGATATCGAAGAAAATCCCATGTCCAAGTACAACTGCAGACGTGTTAGGGACATGTGGGGTATGGCCACTCCAAGATGTTCAAAAGCATCACTGGGGCTGTGACCTAGAGCCCAGATGTTCAGAAGATGGAAGGAAAAGGTAGAACTCGGTGGGCAGAGTGCAAAACCCCTCCCACAGCAAGGAACATGGTGAGCACAAGCACAGAGGAGGCAAGGAGGGCACAGGAGACTCCTGAGGGCCTCAGGAAGGATGCGAGGGGGAGGTAATATTGTCAGTTGTGCTTTTCAATGGCTGCCGTTGGCCTTGATGCAGTGAGTTGATTAGAAGCCAGACAGGCTTGGGAAAGCCAGTTAGTAGGTGGTGGAGCACACCTGGGAAGCAACCATGGTCTGCAGATTGAGTAACTAGGGTGCATAGGGGTATTTTCGGGAGATAACTGAGTTTAAGGACTTCAAGATTCGGGGTAGGGGGTAGAGGTTGGCCATCAGTGTCCAACACAAAACAAGTGTCCATACACAAGGTGGCTAATGCGCCCTAACCCAGAGAGACTTGGTTCTGACCTTTGACCAATAGCCTTTTTTTTCTCAGCTGTTCCTTCTCGCCATCTCTACCTTCCTGGGGCCAAGCCAGCCCCGGAACACCAAAGGCAAAAGGAAGGGGCAAGGGCGGCCTGGCCCCTTGGCCCCTGGGCCTCACCAGGTGCCACTGGACCTGGTATCTCGAGTAAAGCCCTATGCTCGAATGGAAGAGTACGAGAGGAACCTTGGAGAGATGGTGGCCCAGCTGAGGAACAGCTCTGAGCCAGCCAAGAGGAAATGTGAGGTGAACCTGCAGCTGTGGCTGTCCAACAAGAGAAGTCTGTCTCCTTGGGGATACAGGTAGGTGGGCTGGGCACAGCAGGTGACCGTTTCCACTGTCCTAGAAACTGTGTTCAAGACCTTGGATTCTGGTGGATTTTAACCCCACTTTTGCATCTTACCACCTGTGAGGCTTTCAGTCAGTTGAATAGCTTTGCTGAGCCTCAGTTTCCCCAGCTGTCAGTGGAAGTAATGGCGGTATGTACCTCACAGGCTATCATAGACAGACAGACACAGCACTGCCTTTTTATCCTCCAGGTCCCAGCTGGAGTGCTTCTAAAGTACTCTGTCCAGCATGGTGGTTCACACTTTCTGGCTATGCTCACATCTCTTTCATGCCAGATAGGTGCCTTCTCAAGGCCTGTTTCAGATACTATGATCACGACAGTGCTTTTCCCAGGACGAGGCTTATTCATTGCACTCCAGATGTGCTGACCCCTGCGATTTCCCCAAATGGGAGAAACTGGACTGCATAATTTGTAGTAGTAGGGGACTGCGTTCGAGATCTCCCCTCCAAAAAATAAAGTCTGCCTCAGAACCACCTCAGGGTTCCTATGTTCACCCAGTCAGAGCCTCTAGAATTGATGCCCTGATCATGGTGCTGCACCGCTTTTCCATGCTTGGGGTACATGGTCCCACTTTGACTTGGGTATCACTTTGCTGTCCTGGGTTACAGAAGCAATGTCTGTGTGTTCAGCTCCACCTCCTAAGTCAGCATACAGAAGGGGCCCAGGGTACATGGATTAGATGAAATAAAGAGATGGCTAGCTCACTCACAAACTCAGCCCAGAGCTTTTCCAGCTATGCTGTTTATATCCCTAAGACCCTAGAAGTAGCTGGGCGTTGGTGGCACACGCCTTTAATCCCAGCACTCGGGAGGCAGAGGCAGAGGATCTCTGTAAAGTTCAAGACCAGCCTGGTCTACAAGAGCTAGTTCTAGGACAGCCTCCAAAAGCCACAGAGAAACCCTGTCTCGGGAGGGGGGGGGGAGACTAGAAGCACTGTTGGCCAGAACTTCCTGTGATAAAGCCCACTGTGGTAGCCAGACGACTACTGAACCATTGGAATGTGGGACTGATGGACTAGTATAAATTGACTCAAATTTAGGTTGGCACATGTAGCCAGTGGCTTGTGTGTTGAGTGGTATAGCCCTGGAATGGAGTCAGTTACAATGGGGTCTGTAAGGATCCTTTAGACCACAGCTTACTCCTACTTGGCTGTGTCTATGTGTCAGTCAGGGAGATTGTGAAACTGTAGGCTCATTCAGGAGACTTCAAATTTATTTTCAAGGAGCTCCCAAGCAAAGTGAGGTGACTGACTGTATTCCTAGGTCCGATTCTCTTACCTCTCATTCGCATTTAACTGAGGAGGAAATTGAGACAGCGGAGAAAGGGCTCAGAGCAGATATTCTAGGTCTGGGACAACCCCAGAAGGATCTCACCAATGAGTGTCTAAAGTCCAAGACAAATATGCTTTTAACATAGTGTGTGTATAAAAATACAGTCCACAGAATTCACATAGGGGAAGCAGACTGACTCCCACAAGTTGTCCTCTAGCTCCTTGCAAGGTCTCCTCTGATCTCAAATTAATTAATTAATTAATTAATAGAATAGAATTTTAAAAAACAACTTGTCTAGCTGGGCATGCTGTAATTCCAGCACTGGGAAGGATGAGAAAAGAGAATTGTAGCAGGAGGTCACCCTGAGCTACAAAACAAACCATCACCCAAACTGAAACAAAACAAACAAGAAAGAAAAAACGGAATCAATCCAAACCACAACACGACAGACAAAGCTGAGACTCTGAGGGTCAGTAAAGCAACAGAACACAGGCCCAGGTCCTCTTACAATGTAGATTGTATATCCATGTGTGAACGTTTTACTTCTGTAGATTAATTCCCCACAATATAAAAATAGGGTAGAGAAGGAAGCGACGAGAGCAGACTTGGGTTTTTCCATGGTCCCCATGGTATCTTACTGGGTAAAAGGAGGAAGCTGGTGCCACAGTGGTAACAGAACCTGACTAGCAGTGACTAGCTTCCAGATCTCAGTCTCCTTTTTTGGGAAGGCAGAGTTCATTACAACACACTCTGGCCACTAGCCCTAACCCTAACTAAGCAGGACACCCCAGGGATGGCATGAGCAGCTCCTTTGTTGTTCATGGTGGCGCTCACCCTGCTCTCTCTCACTCTGCTCCCTGCAGCATCAACCACGATCCCAGCCGCATACCTGCGGACTTGCCCGAAGCGCGTTGCCTATGTCTGGGCTGCGTGAACCCCTTCACCATGCAGGAGGACCGCAGCATGGTGGGTGTGCCAGTGTTCAGCCAGGTGCCAGTGCGCCGGCGCCTCTGTCCGCCACCTCCGCGCCCAGGGCCCTGCCGCCACCGCGTCGTCATGGAGACCATCGCTGTGGGTTGCACCTGCATCTTCTGAGCCATGAACCCAGTTGCCACTGCAACTCCTCCCTCCCTGCACCTACTGTGCCCGCCAAGGCTGATAAACAGTAAATGTTGTCCTTTGTAAAGAAAGGCATTGGGCTTGCTCCTTGTGACTGACTAGGAAGCTAAAATCGTGTCGGGGTTGGAGACCCCTGGGAAACCAATTCCAGATCTGTCCCACTCAGTCCCGCAAGAGTAAACCAGGCTATTAGAAAATTCTTGCTGGGGATGTAACTCAGTTAAGAGTGTCCGCCCAGCACAAATGAAGCTCGGAGTTCCATCTCTAGCACCACATAAAACCAACGGGGTGGTACACATCTGTAATCCCAGTACTCTGGAGGTGGGTAGGTCAGGAAATTGAAGGCCATCCTTGGCCATGAATATAGCCTCAGGTACATGGGACTCTCTCAAGAAACAAATACTGCTTCCATTTCTATCATTTAAGATGGTGGCAAACTTCCTTTGCGTTCTTCCTTGTAGCAGCTGTGTAACTGGAACATGGTTAACATAAGCTAGTATGCTACCCAACTAACTCAAGTACTAAGACACACGCTCCAGGTTGTGCAGGGCCAAGCTAGGGCTCGGCCTCTCCTGGATGCTGTGTCGATGACCCTTGTCACAGATTGGAAGGGTTGCCCTCAGCCCCAAGATACTTGCAGAACAGACCAAATCTCTCCCAAATGGGCCTCTGGTTGCAAAAGAGGTCCTAAAAATCTTTTTTTTTTTCCTGGAAAAAGAACTCTGGTTTTAAACACTCAAAAAGATGTAAGGCCAACTTGATAGATCATTTTTCATCCAACCACTAATCTGCTGTGCTGGGGTACCAGTATCTGTGACCTCAAAATGTCAGTGAGTCAGTCACCCAGGAAGCTTGTTCAGACAGACTTCTGGCCCTGTACTCAGAGGTGCTAACTTAGGTGGGGTTGAAAGACATGGTTTCTTTTAATTTCTGCTATTATGGGTACTAGGGGTGCTGATGTTGCCATCTGTGACCACACTCTGAGAACCACTGGGTCACATCAAAACATTCTGCTGATAAACACAGGCAGTATGGACTTATCCTAAAGCCCATACTGGGTTTTACCCCTTGTAATTGAATCTTGCCCCCCTGGGCCTTCTAATCCCACAGCAAATCCCCAATCAGCTGTCCTGGGCTCTAAAAATACCTTATCCCACCCCCAGGACAGCTGAGGGGCTTGGGCTATTTTCTGTGGATGAGATGAGCTAACACTGTAATAGAGTTAATGTCCTGCAAAGGGTCAATAGCCCACTGCAGGAATACTTCACTTGGCTGCTTGAGCTTGTGTGCATGCAACAGCTTCAGTGTGGAATGCTTTAATGGTCTAATTCACGAAAAGCCAATGGTTAAGTATGTGCCTGTCTGCGCTGGAAAGTAACTTACCTTTTTTGGTATTGTTGTAGAGTGTATACTGGTTAAAATTACCCTGGAAGTGCTGGCCTGGTTCCAGACACATGGAAAATAGACTCCACATGCCAGCTCATGCCGATCTATTTAGCAGCTACTTCTGTAGGGGTTGCTTGTCTTTAAGGCTCCCTCAGATGCTCTCTGGGTCTATGTGTGTCCCTAAATGCAGGGTATCAAATCCTGGCTTTATACATGCTAAGTGTGTTTTACCACTGGGCTATCTATCCTCCAAGCCTTGTGCTCTCTGGGTCACAGGCCCATGTAATGGGCACAACAACTTTCAAGGCTTTACTGGAAGTCACTGTGGGAGAAATTGAGCTGCAGGAGCCCTGGGGGAGCACAGTAGTATAGGTAGGAAGGAAACCCTCTTCTTGTCGAGAAGGGGCCATCCTTATAGAGGGTTAAAATCTTAGAGATGCTTAGTATAAGCTTGCTATGCAAGGGTGATGACTTTCTTTATTGCTGGGTTCTCATCTGTGAAACCAGCAGATGAGATTTCACTGTCTTCAGGCTCTTGTCCAGTCTTTACAATCCTAGGGCTTAAAGGTGTAGTGTTTTTTGTTTTTGAGCAAGAGAGGGAGAGAATGTGTGCACGAACGTATATTACATGTGCTTGTGACTCACAGGATAACTTCTGGGAGTTAGTTCTTTCCTTCCACCCTGTGGATCTTGGGGTTGAACTGAAGTTTTCAGGCTTGCCAGCAAGTGTCTTAATCCACTGAGCCCTCTTGCTGGCTTGAAACTTGGCCTCTTGGGCCTGAGCAGGGAAGCTCATGCCTTGGGAAAAGTGAGTCTATAATGAATCTAGAAACTTACTTGGGTCTAAAGATAAATGCACACTTCCTAGATAGAACATGATACATATAAACAAATGCAGAGGCTTCCAGGGGACCTACCACCTGCCCCCTCACTTCCTTTAGTGCTGTTTCATGAATGGGTTGGAGTGAGGCATTCCTTAACACCCTACTCCCAAAGATTTGGCTTTGGTCATCTGCTCTAGAAAGTAGAACATCTGTGTAGAGTTTTGTGGTTTTCTTTTCTGAGACAGAATCTCATGTACCCCAGGTTGTCCTTGAACTTACTAAGCCAAGGATGACCTTGAACTTCCTATCCTCCTGCCTTACCTACTGAATGCTGGGATTGCTGCCAGTGATGTGATGACCACGATCCAGGACTTTGTGCATGCCAGGCAAGGACTCTATTAATTGAGCTGTGTTCTTAGCCTTGTGTGCCAGGTTTTCTTAGCCCTATGTGCATGGTTTTAAGTGCTCATTATATTGAACTGAGGACTACAGACAATAAGGGTGGGGCCTTTTCTGTTTTGCTGGTGGGACAGACTCACAGGCCTCTCTAGGCATAGGGAGGGAATGTGTGCTCTGGCCCGAGAAGGCTAAGGTGGGTCCTGGGACAAAGCTTTCAGTTGGTCCATGTTCTCTTTCGGAATCTGTTCTGCAAACGATGAGACCGTGAGATAAACTTGAAGGTTTGGGTAAGTGGGCCTCAGGGCATTGGGAGTTGCTTTGGATTGGAGCTGTTTAGGCCTGCCTACTCAGGCAAAGGAGGCTCTGAAGTGTAGTCAGCTCAGGGTTAGCATGAAGCCCCCACCCAGCGGGGGACCTGCCCTGGGGCCTGAGGCATGCCCTCTGTATGGACCCAAGGGAGCAGAGTTAGCAGAGTGTGCTTTGCATTGTCTTTGGTCCTCTGGTCCGATACCAGGCATGCAATGACAGCCTGGCCGTCTGCATTTCAAAGTCCATTAAAGACACCATCACACGTTTTGATGTCAACGAACTTGGGGCATGGAGGCTCACAGATCCCTCCACAGCTGTGACATTTGGATAAGATCTCTGCTCCAGAGGTTAATATTATTAGAATCTGCTATTCTAAGGAAATCAGTTTACTCTATGACCCCATTACTGGCCCAGTGTCTGAAGCCCAACCAATCAGCACTTGACCCTTCTCTGTTCACAGGTATTGGTGCAGGGCTGGACCACATGGCCCATGTTAGAAATTTGGCTCAGTGGCTGTGGGAGACCCTCCCACTGAGGGAGCTGATGACACAGAAGTCTTTGGCTGACAGACAAGGACCTGGAGATTGCCCTGTCCTCTGCATATGCCAGTGGTCTTCATTGTTCAGAGTTTTCATTTGGTTTTTTTTTCCACTACAACCAAAACTTGTTTTACTGGTGTGCCAGTCTTACAGTTTTTGTAGTATCTTACCACATGCAGATCATTTGTGCCCTACAATCATCTCTTTACTGCCATAGCCATCACCTGGTAAAGCATGAACCTTCATTCCAGTGTGAGCCTAACTGCATGGGAGGGTATTGGAGCCTATTTGCTCTAGGCTGAACTCTACTAAGGTGAAGCTCCAGATGGAGACTGTTCTATAAAATTTAGTAGAGACCTTCAGACAAGTTATGTTCTCTGTGAGCTCTTGTCTTCCTTGCAGAAGGAAACAGTAGACGACTCTCAGGACTGTCTGCTGGGCAAGCTTCCAAGCTAGGATCCTCTGGTGGTCTTGTGTCATCTGTGCCCCTCCCCTAAAGCACTACTTAACACATCTGAGTGGTTTGCATGTGTTGTGTGTTTGCATATGTGTGGGTATGGGTGGGTGGCCCACCACTGACTCCACTCCTCTGTATGCCCCCTCTGCAGAAATGCACAGGTTCAAAGGAATGAAGACAAGTTTCACTCCAAAAACTGATTTGGGTGCGTGGTGGTACTGAGACTTGAACCAGGGGCTTCATGCATTCCAAATATATGCCCTCCACTGAACTATGCCTGTGGTCCTCATCTTTATTTTATCTGTTTCTGTAATGGTTTGGCGGTGTCAAAGCCAAGGTCTCACAAATGCTAAGCAAGCACTCTACCACTGATCTTTATAGTTACAGAAAAAGCAAAGCACAATTCTCTCTCGATGAAGGTAGTGCCAGAGAAAGCACCAGATTAACCTCCAAAGAATTCCATCCCATACCATCCTTTCCCCTGCTGGTGGTGGTGGTGGGGAATTCAGGGGTGTGGTAGGACCACTCTCTACTCTACCAGGACTTGCCTCCTTTGCAAGCCAGATCCATCACGACTCCTGTACCCTTAATTAAAGAGAACGGCCAATCCCTTCAGGGGCTATCAAAGCTTCCTTTCTTTCTATCGCTCAACTTGTCTCCATTTTTCTACCTGCTCAATTGACAGGTAGCCCAGAGCTCTACAGATATCAATGTCGGGGAAATGTCCTATCAGTCATGGGCAGTGTTGCCAGGAGGTGTGGTGATGGTCTCTAAAGACATTCTGAACTAGAACCCGCACCAGATGGTTCATCCAAATGCTGACATTTTCTGATCTTGCCTTCTCTTAAGTAGCTGGTTGTGAATGTTTTGCTGTAGGCTGTGCATTAGGGAAGTTGGTAATGGAAGACGGAAACGAGAGAAAATTGAGTTCTTTGCTTTATATTCCTTCTCACAGTCATTTTGGCTTCTACTGAGAAAATGAAGTCTGAAGTGGTTTGGAGGAGGATGGATTTTTATTTCTTCTTGAACAGTAACAAAAACACCCCACCAAAAACCAAAACCAAAAAAAAAAACCCCAAAAAAAAAAACCAAAAACAAAAAATCCAAAACCACTGACCTGAATTCCCTTCCCGTTTCTTAATCTCTCCCTTTAAAAAAAAAAAAAAAAAAAAAAAAAAAGGCAGCCTCTAAGAGGATCCTTAGGCAGATAGTAGGTCACCTGGACCCACATGGGGGAACATCTGCTCAGTACATGAGGACAGAGAGAGCGGAGCAGCCCATGAATGTGGCCTCGTCAGTCCTGTGCTGCTGGAGTGGGCTCTATCTTCAGTGTGGGACAGAGTTCTTGGACTCTCTCTGGAACCCTCACAGTTCAGTCTTGACTTTATGGATTAAGTCCTTTTGGTCAATCT